AAAATTCCACACCACTATATCGAACTGATAATGGAATCGAATGGTGTGGAGCTGCCAGCAAACTCCCAGAAATTGGAGTTTTCAATCCGCTCGATTCCGCCCGAGACCGTGCCCATCATGAATGAGGCGCTGGTCTGCGAGGCTGCTTTCCGCCAGGGAACGAAACACTCCACAGAATGGACCCTGGAAACGGATGTGCAGCAACTGGAGGCAGAGCTGAAGAAAGCTCGTGTCACACCATTGACGGATCATCTGTCCAGGTTGACTAAAAGCGGCCGCTACCCGCGCCTTGGAGGAAATCACGACAGTCAGTCGAAGACACTGCTCTCACCGCAAGTTCCAGCGAAAGAATCTCAGAAGAGTCTGCGTCAACGTCGCATAAAAGAGGCTTGCAAGAAGGAAGCACTTCGCCAGTGGCAGCAACTGCAATCGATGAAGAAATAACAAGTCGAATTGGTTCGATTCCTAACTCAAATGTAACCAAAACAAACCAAAAGGTGCCGCAGAGGGGCCCAAGAAATATATTCCAACTGAGTTGGAGATCCCCACAAGCTGACACGAACAGAAGAGACCCGATCGAATACACATATCGTACACCCCCTAAAACACATTAGCCCACACTAGAAAATAATATTGAATATCTGACTTAGCTGCAAGCTTGAGAGCAGCTTTAGCAATGGCTTGGGCAGACACGTTCGTCCTGGGGAATGATGGACGGGGGGCAAAAGCGGCCATTAACAATCTTGATGAATCGAGTGTCCACCATTTCATCCAGAGTGTGACCAATTATCTAACGATGGGGAAGTGTTTCGGGCTGCGAAGTGGAGAAACAGAAGCAACTGAAGCAACATTGCAACAAGCAACCAAAAAGCATTTGAATTCCTTCGCCAAATGTACTTACATCCGCTCTGTCGATTCCCATCTGCTCGAATATCTCAGTCATGTTCTTTGGGCCTTTGGAGCTGATCGAGCATTTCACCGATCACCGATCACCGATCACCGATCAGCCATTGTGCACGACTGTTTTGACTTCAATTCGCGCTTGTTGCATTTTCACTGTTGAATCTGACTCTGAACTTGAATCCACATTGCGATTCGATTCGGATTTACACAAACAAATAATTAATGGAATTTCCAATAATTTTGGAGAGTAAACAGCTGAAGAGGAAAGAACGTTACACTCGAACAATACATCGAGTAGCAAGGAACAACGGCCAGTGCTTCGGCAAGGAGCAATTTGCTTGCTCGATTTCTCTCTCGACGTACGAGTACCCGAGGCTTTCAGTGTCTCTGTTATTTAAGCACAAGTTCGAGCGAGTGTCGATATTTGTTGGGGTTTTTTGTTGCGGTTTTGTGGCTTAAGCGCTTGGGCGGCTTTTGAGTGAAACGGCAGCTGGCTGGGCAGGCCACAAGAGTGTGGGAATCGTTGGCTCGCAGACAGTGGGACCGGGCGACTGGTGGCTGATCCCTAAATCGGCGACAGTCACACCAGCCAACCGCTTTTCCTATGCTAATTGAAGCGCGAGTGGCTGTCTGTGTGTATGGCCAATTATGCCTAATTGCCGCCAAGGCGACAACAGACAACAGCAACACTCAAAATTCAAATGAAAATGAAAAGTGCCACAAATGAGCAGCCGGACAGGGGACAGTGGAAAGCTTTATGCGGCCACTAAGGGGTAATATCAACAGCCAGCCACCAAGAAACGTAAAACGTAAAACTACTAAATACCAACTTTCCAGTGCTGGGGCCCAAACACCAGAAAAAGCTTTGTGGCTGTCTGGCTGTATGGCTTTATGGCATGATTTCCATTTGGTTTTGGTCTATGCAAAACACTCGATTGTCTGTGACCCAGTTCGGTTTTGCAGGCTTCAAGATCCCATTAAATACCAAGCAAATACCAACCGAAGGCGCGTGATGAAGTGCATTCCCCACGGAAGATACAGGTACATACATATACATATGTACAAAGTATGCATTTGAGATTGTGTGGTTTTGTTCGGTTATTTCTATAACCAATAACTTTCTTCGTTTCGGTTGCAAGTGCCAAAGGTTTTATTTAAAGGTTGCTCCCAAATGTTGCAGTGCATGGAAATCCATATAAAATTCCACTTCCACTCTTATGCTATGTTCACGTAGTTCAGATTGAGCTAAGACGGCTACCAGATTCTTTTGAATAATTAAATCCATTTCACTTGAATATTTAATATTTAATATTAACTTAATATTTAATATTAACATTATTAATATTTAAAGGTCCACATTTTATTTTGTAAGCAAGTATCCAGTGAATATTATATATATACATATGTACGTATAAATACTTTTATGTACGCTTATGGAAACAGAAATGCACAAAAAATTATTGAAAAATCTTCTGGTGATCGGATATGGATGATCTTCGGTGTAAGTAGCCCTTCCGGTATCCCATCCCAGTTTGGTTATCACTTATCGCTGATCACCTAAACGTGAAACTGACGTTAAAGCACAAATAAACATTTTCAGTAGAGGTAAACGGAACCCATCTTTAGTAGCATAATTCGTTGGAAATTAGTTTCCCAAAAGAAATAAAAATATAGGAAAAATGTCTTTAAAAATGGCAAAGCTGAAGAAACATTGAAAGTGGTAGAAAACTTCAACTTTGGCGCGATATGTCATCCGCTATAGCCATTGTATTAGTATTGAAACGGATCAAATATCATATGAAAGCTCATACAATCTTTCGCGCTTTATAACTCAGACCATCGTTTTTTCTAAGCGGAAATTATGAAAGTGCGCAAAGTAAAATAAAGATTTTGGGAGTTCCGAATACTTTCATAAATGTTACTCAGCTAGGACCACAAAATAATTTCTGCTCGTGCATTTAAACCTTTTAATTTTTCTCACAGTGTAATTGATTTATTGGAATCGAATTTAATTCTTACTTGCTTGAACTTCCATCTAAAAAATCTAAAATATATAAATGTACATAAGTAGGTATGTATGTGTCTATGTATTTATGTATGTATTTATATGCTGCCACTTGCCACTATCAATTTGCCATATCAAATGCCATGCAAGTGACTTGCCTCCATTAGGTATCGGTGCCGGTACCCGAAAAAGCCGCGAAACGAGCACGAACCCACCCGTCAAGTGGTTAGGAGAGCGCGTTAGTGCCTGCTTATGCTTTTGGGCCTGTTTTGTTTTGTTTTGTTTTGATTTGGCTTTCGATTTCTGTTTGGGCTTTTGGTATCTGTTTCGGGTATCTTTTTTCTTAATTGCCAGCCAAGTGCGAACCGGTCCAGTCCGGTCCGACACGACTCGGCTCGGCTCGGCTGCGGTCTGCTCAGAACAATGACAGCCAGCCAGAGGCGGGCAAATGTCAAGGCAGCGGGGCACAGCACTCGCAATGCGAACGGGTTGACAAATGGGGATTGGCTTACCCAAAAGTGGGGGTACTTATCTGTGTAGCTAGAACCATTTGTGCGGCAATTAAGCGACGAAATTGTTGCTCGATGTAGATCAATCAAGGGATCAATTAGTGGCGCAAGCAATCGGTCCGATCTGATCCGATCCGATCCGATAAGTAAGCGAGCGCCTTTCCAAAAGTATTCAAGCCAAAAACAAAAGACTTTGGCAGCGAACCTGCTCTGGCCAGCGGCAATGGGCAAGCATATCTTGAGCCATGAATGGACAGAGGCGGAAACACTTCAAATATATTTGACATATACTCGTATCATATAAATAAATACCCAACTGGATTTTGAAGAGCCACAGAGTCATACATTGGGGTACGGGTACCAATTATTTCAAAGACTAAATTCATATGTGCATACCTCAGTAAAGGAAACATATCCTATTAAAAAATAATACAAATTGTCTAAGCAGCAAACAATATTTCAAATCTAAATTTTTGTCATGAATTAATTTTTGCACAAATATCAACTTTCGTTGAACAAATTTTTTATGTTATTAAGGGGGAGGGGAAAAAAGAGAGAAAAAGGAAAAAGGGGGGGGGGGGGGGGGGGGGGGGGGGGGGGGGGGGGAAAAAAAAAGGGCCCCCCCCCCCCCCCCGGCCCGCGAAGGGGGGGAAAAAGGGGGGGGGGAAAAAAAAAAAAGAAGGAGAGAAAAAAAAAAAAAAAAACCCCCCCCCCCCCCCCAAACCAAACACCGGGGGGGGGGGGGGGGGGGGGGGAAAAAAAAAAAAAAAAAAAAAACCCAAGCCTTTTTCTTTATAAAGAAAATAAATATTTAAAATGTTTAAAGTTTCTCAAATTTGTATATCACCTAACCATATAATAAAATTAGTTATAAGAATCGAACCCACAAGGTTATCTAAAACTCTTAAAAAAACACGTTGCACATACATATATCAATTTTACTGAGGTATACATATATGTACATATGTATGTATGATTTTGAATGCTAAAACGGCAACGATATGGGACCCCCCCTGCCAAGGGTATATCACTTACCTAATAGCCAGGCTCTGCCGCATTAAGGCGGTTCTGTTGAATTGTACTATCCATGGACTACGAAGGCTGACGCCTTGTCTATGCCAGACTTAAACTCAACAGCCATGTAAATGTGTATTTTTCCCACTCCCAGCCCGTCTCTCTATAGTTTGTATTTATTATTTACTTAATTTATTTAGTAATTTATTTATTTAGTCAATAAAAGTGGGAGTCAATTATATTGTGGCATTCTTTAAATTAAATTCAATTTAATGTGAAAATCTTTTATTAAGACATCATTTTTTTTTTTATCTTCACCGGATGAATTTTCAGTTTTTTTTTTCGGTTAATATTCACATTCGAGGCTACAGCCTACATTCCCGCGGGACATATTCAGCTTTTTAAATATAATCCTGCACTCCGTAGATCCTTTTGCTCGTCGAATTTCAAGCTGTCTGTTACATCTTGTTCTCTCTTTCCACAAACCATATTCTATATCTTAGGTAAACGCATGATTTTTGTCAGTGCATAACCCTAGTTCTCCCCTCTGTCTCCCCTCATCCACGCAGCTTGTCAATGAACCAGTGACACCATCATCGGCATCACCATCATTAGCGAGCAGAAACCGAGAGCAGATATGACAGAGACAAGCAGCCACCAAGCAGGCCCCGGCGGGGATTTCAATGGCCGTCACTCGGCCTCGCCGGCACGCACCATAGACTCGCACGACTCCACCACAGGCAGCATGGACACCATTGTGGACCGCAGCCTGAACCGGGAGGAGCTCTTGCAGGTGGCAACCAGCACCATCGAACAGAGCACCAACACCACCAACATGGGGCCAGGCGGCAGCCTGACCAACTCACAGATTGGGATCCTTCAGCGAGACCAGCAGCAGCAGCAGCAGCAGCAGCAGGAGGAGGAGGAGATGCAGCTGCAGGAGCAGGAGCAGGCACGTCAGGATGCCCAGAGTCACATCTATTCGAGTCCCGTCTACGACGAGAAGCCGCCGCCGTTGAAGCTGACGGGGGCCTCCCTGCTCGCCGCTGCCATGGACCTAGACGCAGCCAAGGCCAGGACCAACAGCCAGATCCTGGACGAGGCTAAGAAGCCGAAGCTCATCTCGCACCAGGAGTTCAAGCAACAGCTGGAGGAGGCCATGGCCACGCGCCATCCGGCTCAGGCGGGAACTCTGAGCGCGAAGAGCGCGGCCAACAACACCATCGACTCGCGGATCAGCAAGAAGCAGCGCTGCCCTCCGGAGTTCATCAAGTACAAGGGGGGGTCCGGCGGCAGCGATGGAGGCAGCGGCGATGGGGCCAGCTCCACTCTATCGGCAAAGGCACGCCGCAAGCGACGGGCAAGCAACGAGTGCTGCTCGGCATTCCCGCTCCAGATCGTGCTCGGAACACTGCAGCTCGTCTTGGCCATCTCCCTGGTGGCGCTCGGCTCGCTGCTGATCGTGCGCGAGGCGGCCTTGTCGATGGCCGGCTGCGGCATCTGGACGGGCCTGATCGCGGCCGTCACCGGATCCCTGGGCGTGGTCAGCATGCGCAAGACGCAGACGGCCTTCCTGGCCCTCAGCCTGGTCTGCATTGCCAGCAGCACGCTGGCGCTGGCCATTTCGGGCGTGGGCCTCTCTCGGGACCTCAACCGCATGGCCGAGCAGAAGGGAGAGCAGGTGAGTGCGACAGTCCCACTCTGTCCATTTTGTACGAAACGGAATATGAATCATATGAATTTCCTCCACAGTTTGACCTGATGAATGCCAACAGTGAAGTTTCCGCTGCCTGTGGCTTGATATTCACCTTGTTTTTGCACTTTGTGGTCAGCATTGTGTCAGTCTATCGCTGTGCGCTGCAGATTTGCACCAAGTAAGTCGAGTTTTATTTTGCATTAAGATTTGTATTCGAAATTGCGCGGCAACCAATCGATAGCTTAAACTTATCGGTGGGTGGCTGGCAAAGGCGCCATCTATCGGACTTTTGTCTCAGCTTACATTCAGCAATGGATGGCGCTGGCGAGCGATCGATACAATCGATACTATCGTAATAGTATCGGGCTCAAGTAATTATTAAAATACCATTGAAACCTTTAGGAACTTGTCCATTGTAAAAATTAGATGCCACCTGTCGATTTGCTTACAAATTTGTCTTCGTATTTTATAGCAGCCAATCCAAATATATCAAAAGCGCAGCTCGATACTATCATGATGGTCGCAAAACCGTCGATAGTAGAGGCTAGCAGTAAAATATCGATACTATCGATAGTGCCCTCGATGGTTTGACACCACCTCTGTGATAAGAACCAAAGCACCACAACGGGTATTTTTTATCGTTATCGTCACGGTCACACTGATATTAAAATTAATGTGTAAATAATAGTTTAATCTAGTGATAAGAACCAAAACACCACAAGGGCAGCCACATGAAAGAGCAAACAACAGGCGCCAAGAAAAACCAACAAAATCCAGAGGATTCCCAGTGAAATTGCGTGGAGAAAAGCAAAAAAAAAAAACGAAAAAAGCAACAGCACCAGCAGAGAAGTCAGCAGAGACGCGAGCAGTGGGCAGAGCTCGCGCCTACGCTTCCTACACCTCCACCTCTCGCTATTTCTCTCTCCCACCCTTTTTCTTCATCTACCTCTCTCACTCCCTCTCTGTGCTTGTGTGTGTGTGTGTGTGTGCGCGTGTGTGAGTGTCCGCCTAATGCTGCTCCCACTCGAACAGTCGCAAACGCAACGGAAGTAATAAAAAAAAAAACAAAAAACATAAAGCAACGAAAAGAAATAATTAAACGATACAAGAAAGAAAATACATTGACAGTATTGCTGTTGGCCGAAAGGGAAAAGCGAAAGTCGGAGAAAAAAGCCTCAAGACGCCAGCGAACGTGTCTGCGGAATCGAACGCCAGTAGGGCAGCGAGAGCGACCGTCATGCCACTGGCTGACTCCAACAAGGATCTTCGACAGCAGCAGTTGCAGCAGCAGCAGCTGCAGCCCAACAACAATGTAGCAGCGGCAGCAGCCCCCCCACTGGACAATGCGTCACATGCTGGCAGCCCCAGCGGTAATGGCAGCGGGAACGGCAGCAGCGGCGTGGCAGGGATGGGGCTGCAGCTCCGCCAGCGCATGCAGATCACCTCATCCGGGTGCAGCAGTCTGGCGGTCACTCCCATGGAGCACACGCCCACCGACGAGGAGAGCGGGCCCGTGACAACGGTGACGTCATCGCAGCGACGCCAGCAGCTGCAACAGGTGCAGCAGTCGGCGCTCCAAGCGGCCCTCGAACAGCATCACATCTCACCCACAACCCCAACCCCAGGAGCAAAAGGCGGCGGAGGCCGGGGAGCAGCAGTAAACGAAGCTAAAGCAGGAGTAGCAGCCACAGCCACAGCGACGAGAGGGACAGAAGAAGCGGCAACAGGGGACTCCACATCGAGTGCGGATCGAACGCTATGCCCTCCGCCGGAGCAAATGGAGCTGAGCGACTCGGAGCACTCGTATGGGGGGGCACCGGGCAGCGGGGAGTGCGAGAACGAGTTCGAGCTGCGCGAGGTGGTCAAGGAGGGGCACGACAAGGCGGATCCCTCGCAGTTCGAGCTGCTGCGCGTGCTGGGCGAGGGTAGCTTCGGCAAGGTGTTCCTCGTGCGCAAGATCATTGGCAAGGATGCGGGCACCCTGTACGCGATGAAGGTGCTGAAGAAGGCCACGCTGAAGGTCAAGGATCGCGTGCGCAGCACCAACGAGCGCAAGATCCTGGCCGATGTGGGGCACGCGTTCATTGTGCGGCTGCACTACGCCTTCCAGACGCCCGGCAAGCTCTACCTGATCCTGGACTTTCTGCGCGGCGGCGACCTCTTCACGCGGCTATCCAAGGAGGTCATGTTCACCGAGGAGGACGTCAAGTTCTATCTGGCCGAGCTGGCCCTGGCCATGAACCACCTGCACACGCTGGGCATCATCTACCGCGACCTCAAGCCCGAGAACATCCTGCTGGACGAGCACGGCCACATTGCCCTCACCGACTTCGGGCTCTCCAAGCAGCCCCTCGACGGCTCCAAGACGTACAGCTTCTGCGGCACCGTGGAGTACATGGCCCCGGAGATCGTCAATCGGAAGGGGCACGACTTTGCCGCCGACTGGTGGTCCTTTGGCGTCCTCATGTACGAGATGCTGACGGGCAATCTGCCCTTCCACGGCCAAACGCGGCAGGAGACCATGAACCAGATCCTGCGCTCGAAGCTCGGGATGCCCGAGAACCTATCCCCGGAGGCGCAGTCCCTGCTGAGGGCCCTCTTCAAGCGCAATCCCCAGAACCGGCTGGGCGCCGGCTCGCAGGGCATCCTGGACATCAAGGCCCATTGCTTCTTTGCGACAATCGATTGGGTGCGGCTGGAGAGGAAGCAGGTGCGTCCGCCCTTTATTCCCGCCGTCAGCCGGGACGACGCCTTCTACTTCGATGTGGAGTACACGTCAAAGTCCCCCCGCGACTCCCCCGGCGGCCCCATCTCGGCCTCGGCCCACGAGATCTTCCGGGGATTCAGCTTCGTGGCGCCCGTACTGCTGGAGCCACACGGAACGCCCACCTCCCACAGCTGTTCGAGCAGCGCCAGTCCCCTGCACACGGCCACAGGCTTGGGCATGGGCATGGGCATGGGCATAGGCATAGGCACGGGCACGGGCACCGCCACGGCGATGGGGTCGGGGGGAACGCTGACGAGTGCCACCTCCTGCTCCTCCCTGACCACCACCATGACCACGGGAGCAGCGCCGCGCAGCCTGCCGGGCGTGCTGCCCGGGAACTTCCATGCGGAGTACAACCTGCTGCAGGAGCTGGGGCGCGGCACCTTCTCCGTGTGCCGCCTGTGCGAGCACCGCGCCTCCAAGAAGCACTACGCGGTGAAGATCATCGAGAAGGCGGCGGTGGCGGCTGCCTCGGCCTCCTCCACCTCCGCCGACTGCTGGGAGGAGGTGGAGATCATGCTGCGATACGGCAACCACCCGAACATCGTCACACTCTACTCGGTGTACGAGGACGCGAGCTCCGCCTATCTGGTAATGGAGCTGCTCAAGGGCGGGGAGCTGCTCGACCGCATCCTGGCCGTGGGCCAGATGTGCGAGAGCGAGGCCAGCGCCGTGCTGCGGACCATCGCCTCGTCGGTGGCCTATCTCCACGAGCACGGGGTCGTCCATCGCGACCTCAAGCCCTCGAACATGATCTACGCCAGCATGCGCCAGACCCCGGAGACGCTCAAGCTCTGCGACCTAGGTGAGTGAGGTGAGCCATCTGTAGGGATGCTGCTCGCCGGACCAAAACCAAAACCAAAACTAAAACTAAGACAAAGACAAAGACAAAGACTGAGACTTTTGTTTCGTTGCTCGTTCACCTTAGGCTTCGCCAAGCAGCTGCGGGCGGACAACGGTCTCCTGATGACGCCGTGCTACACGGCCAACTTTGTGGCCCCCGAGGTGCTGAAGCGGCAGGGGTACGACCTGGCGTGCGACATCTGGTCGCTGGGAGTGCTGCTCTACATCATGCTCTCGGGGCGAACGCCCTTCGCCAGCACGCCCAACGACTCGCCGGAAGTGATCCTCAAGCGGATCGGCTCCGGCCACATTGACTTCAGCAGCAGCCGCTGGGCACTGATCAGCGCTCCGGTGAAGGAGCTGCTCCGCCAGATGCTGCACATAGTGCCCGAGAACCGGCCGACTGTGGCGCAGATCCTGGAGCACAGCTGGGTGCGGGATCAGTTTGCCGGGAGTGTCGAGCTGACGGAGTACACCGCGGCGCTGCCACAGCTGTCGCTGGGGGCACAGCAACAGCAGCAGAACCACATCTCGATAGCACTGCGCGGTGCCGTGGACGCCACATTCCGGGCGATTGCCATTCCGCAGGCGGCCAACGTGGGACCCGTGGAGCTGTCGATGCTGGCCAAAAGGCGGGCCAAGGACCGGGCCAATCTGCATTCCTAATCCTGGGCCGCATCGTGGTGCCCACGACGACAGGCCAAGAGGCAGCTAATTCGTTTAGTCTTCACCATATATAGTATTTTGATCCATTGCTGTGCATTTCCCCGTCGCCTGGGCAAGTGGCGTTGCCGCCACATCAACGAGAATGGGAATGGGAATGGGAACGAGAACGGCAATGGAAATGGAAATGGGAATTTGATTGGGAATGGGAATTTGAATGAGAATGGGATTGGGAATGGGAATGGGCATGGCCATGCCCGCGGGCATGCTATAAATCCCCGTCAGCGCTGTCGCAGTGCCAAGCTGCGGCTGGTCTAGATTGGGAGCCAAGACAGGCGTGGCCGGGGGACGGACGGGCAGAAACTCGAAAGTATTTGACTAAAAGTGTTAATTATTTATTTAATATACCTACACACATACATACATATATAAAGAAACCGAAACAAAGAAAAGGAAGTGCAAGGAAAGGAAAGGAGAGGAAAGGAAAGGAAAGGAAGCGAAAGCAAAGAATCATGAACGGAAGAGTCGGAAGAAGGTGTGTCAACTGCTGTGCCAACGGCTTCTCAAAGTGTATCTACATAAATAACTAAACAGATATATACATATACATACATATATGTATATGAATATGTATATTTATATAAAGAATCCCTGTAAATCGAAATGTACGCCTGCGTGGTGTGTGGTGTGTGGTGTGTGATGTGGTGTGGATCGAAGGAGGTGGATTAGAGTGGATCGGAACTATAGGCCTAGTTCCTGCCTGACTCCAGCATTGCTACCTCCCTCCGTACCTCCCTCCTTCCTTCCCCGAACACATCGCCACACACCACAGACAGACAGACGCCCAAGAAGCGCATAAATATTTTTAACTAAATTAATCGTAGCTAAATTTTCCAACATCACCATGTTATTGTTGTTTAAATAATTAATTAAAACGAAAACAAAAACAAAAACAAAAACAAACAAAAAAATAACTAAATAATCAAGAGAAACATTTGTGAAACGCAAAAGAAAAGGCTGGACACCCCAAACCTTTTTGCTACATATTATTAATTATTATTAATAGTAACATTAATATTTGTCGCCAAGAGAGCCACAAAAGCAAAACAAAACAAGAAACCATTAAATATGTGGTAAAAATCGTTGTAAAGCCAAGCAAGCCTTCACCACAAAGGGAGCAACAAGAGAAAGTGTTGCCCAAAATAATTATACTTGGAATGTCAATTTCGCACAAAGACCTAGAACTACTTACAACATATACATACAGCATATAAGCGAGATTATACATGGTATATGTACATTGTACATTGTACATACTATATATCCAACCACATGCCAGTGCGTTTCCAGGCCCCAAGGCCGTCAGTTTAGATCCATTAGCTGTGGGGATAGGAGATAGCAGAGATCAGTGGAGAGCAGACTCGACTGCCTTCAGCTAAGTCGGTCCGACAATCTTTGGCGACTCTCTGTGGCTGAATCTATTCCATAAGTAATTGTATTCGATTGCTTCGTGAGTGGTTAATATCTGTGGTTGGGGGGGATATTACTTTGTTCCACCACTGACATTGATCAGCATCACATCCATATAATAACCAATTGAGTAGCTGTTTTGTCATTTGTTTGCTGAATGTACATAGCGAATGCTAGGCTGAATAGAAACCATTTCGTAAGTGAATGATAATTATGATTGTGATCGGCATGCATTATTCAAGAGATCAGAATACGCCGCCATACGCTAGCTAATTCTGCTTGATCAGGGCTTCTCAGGATCAGGGGTCAGTTCAAGAATCCAATATGCATTACATATAAAATATACATATACATATATGTAGCTGTCATTTATTGTGCGAGATTACCTATAGGCTGGCTATACATATAGTTATATACAAGTAGCACTCCTCAGATGGGATTGCTATCCTTCCGACTTTCAACTGCCTTGCATTTCTGAAACGCAGTCTACAGTCTCTGTAGAGACTGTTTTCACAGCTTCACTGCTTCACAGCTTCAGGTGTTGTCTTCCTGCGATTTTAGTGTCCTGCCTGTGACGCACTGTACCCAAGCGAGGGAAAGCATATGAAGATCTTCTTAGATCTGGTTCAGATTAGAGGAAGCAGGCCTCAGGCCAAATCAAATAAAAACCATTAAAGGAATGGGGCGCTTTTTGCACATGGCATTAATACTCTGTCTGTATCTGTATATAAAGTATCCAACAGAAAGCAGATATACTCGTACTCCGCCAATACAACAAAACAATTGTGATCTTATGAGCCACTTTTCTTTGCGACTTTGTTAGCAATTCAACTTCAATCTTGGCCAAGGAGAACAGCTGGCCAGCAGTGTGAAAATGGAAAAACCTTAAGATATAAACAATAATGATAAATTACAATTAAAAGATATAAATACATACGTACACACATATATAGACCAGATACATGGCTCCAACTGGGGACAGTCTCTTTCAGTCCTAACTATATACACATAGTGATATACGCACACGTATATGCATACAAGCGTACATACAGACATATGTATAATAGATAAAGAAATCCCATATGATCAGGGGCAAACCATAATACATACATACATACATACATATGTACATATATGTATGTATGTATTATGTACCGAGGTATAATGAGAATTTCGAATTCGATTTTCCTGGACTATGTGGATTAAATTAGCTATATGCATGTGTGTGTGTATGTCCGCATGTGTGCATGTGTGTGTGTGTGTGTATTTGTCTTAATAAGATTTTATGCGCTGTGCCACCACTGAACTTACTGCTAACAAAAAACAATAATTGCATACATATGTACATAAATGTATTGTATGTATGTACATCACCATAGAAAATATTAGTTAAAACTTGAAAATTGTTAGAGCAAAAGCCATCCATGGATACGATGGATACGATGGATACGATCAGTGACCCGCCATACGAGGGGAATGATAATGAATGCTTGGGATGGAAATTAGCTAGCTGGAGTACGGGAGGGGGGTTGGTATACAGGAACTAGGAGAAGGAGGATGCAGATCCAGATGAATATAGTTCATAGCTACATATAGGGATTACTGGAGAAGCGAATGATAAAAGTCGGAATAGATATAAAGCTATACGGCTGGACATGCTGAGAATAAAATGTTTTTGATTACGATAATGATAATGATGATGAGAATCATAAATTACTAACGGTTTGTTATAAAATGCTGTGCACACACACAAATTAGACAAGGACAGATGACAGCCCACATAGAAAGAGACAGAGACAGCGTCAAAGACAGAGATAGAGACAGGATCGAGAACGAACCCCAGAGGGAAAGAAAACTAAATGGGACAGCAACTCTCAGAGGAGACCTACATAGATACGTGCTATGAGAGACGTTCTCGGACTCATCCTCGACTCTGGAACTGGAACAACTCCACTCCCCTGAACCCCTGAACCCTGGAACAATCACAATTAGATCTCCCCGCTGACCTTTAGCTCGACCTGGACATCGACAAAAGTTCTAATACGAAAACTTAAGCACACCTAAAGCCATGCATACAAAATACATATACAAACAAACAAACATATATACACACACACACATATATATACATATACATATATATATATATATGGATGCTACATACATATATTTTCTTAGTAGATTTTTACAGCTTCCAGAACTACATACATACATACATACATGTGAAAAGAAAACCCAACAAAATTATTGACAAACATTAAGTGAGCAAAAAACTTTTATTGTAATCGATATCGAAATCGAACGATTCTAAATTATTGTAAAGTTGATTCATTAAAAAACAAAAACGACAAAAAAAAAAACAACTAAAAACTAATAAAAAATTCAAAGTTCTGAATTGTTTTGATCTGGCACCAAAAAGACTGAGTGAATCATTAATATCATTCCCCACAGCACAAGCAACAGCCACGATTGGGAATTTAATGCGGCATACGTATGTACATACATACATCTTATCGCTGCTATTTTGTTATCAATTGAGATTAGGGTTGAGTGATTTGTGTCGCGGGGGACGCTCAAGGGGCGTACATACTCGTCCTCGTACTCGTACATATGTGGGTTCCAGTGGATTATTTGCTTTAGCTCACCGGAACTTTGAATCATTCCATATCTGCAATATCATATCATGTGCTTTACTTAATCCACACTAAACGTTGTTTTCTAGAACATTTATTTACCCATGAAGTGAAGTGGTCAGTCGGTCTGACCTCCTCATTCACATATACTTGAGTTCAGAATCTCTATCCCCCAAACCCTGTGCACATCACCCTCTCTTTTTAACAATAGTTTTATTTTTATTAAATTTAGACTGGGTTTTTATAGATATAGTATATATATATATATTTTATTTTATTGTTATTACGCAGCTTATAATACTAACAAATTTCTGTTTTGTTTGTTTTTCTGCTTTCAATTGGATTCATTGACTTTTGATTTAATTTAATTGCATTATTTTCCACCGTTCTGGGTTGTGTTTTTTTTGTCGTTTTGAACAAACATAAATAGATTCAGTTACAGCAAATTATTGTACAATGCAACGAAGTTATCCGCCCTCCATCCTGTCCAATCTTGTGTACATACGCAAATTATGTATAAACTTGAATGTTCTGAATATGCCTTTTTATGGAGTGTAAAAAAATATACTAGTAGTAATCTGCCAACTGCCAACTGCCACTGCCACTGCCGCTGCATCTGTCTCTGCTTCAGTTTCGTCTCCATTTGAAATATTGCTGTGTGTGTGTGGGGTGTGTGTGTGTGTGTGTGCATGTGTATGATGCATTATATATGTATCCTGTGTGCATGCTCCTTAATGCTTGCCCTTGTTGCTCTTGCGACTGCGTTGCTGTTGCTGTTGCGAAGACTGTGCCTGCTGCTGCTTCTCCTGCGTTAATATTGCTCTCTCCTTCTGCGAGTCGGGTGCCGTAGCAAAAGCTTCTTTATCTGCAGAGAGACAGAGACATAAATACTATTATGGGCAAGGATCAAAAGGGAATGAAATCTGGGTTAATGGCTCACCCGTCGTGCCCGTGCCCGTGCCCGTACCCGTGGAGTGTGAACTCCTCTGGGACTGTTCAGGCGATTCACCTATCTCGACCACCAGAACTTCCTCAGCCTCGGCATGCGGCAGTTTCAACGGCAACGGCATCGACTCTGACTGTATCTGGGCCTTGGCCTCGAGGACCACCACTTCGCCGTCCTCCTCCTCCTCCTCGACGTGGGCTTCCTCAGCAATGACCCCCCCATTAAGCACATTGACCTCCTGGGCCTCTTGGGCCATGTTGGCCTGGGCTTTGCGACGCCGCTTTTCCAGGTCGCGTGTGTAGTTCTGCGTCCACTCGATGTGCTCCTTGTAATACTGATAGACGGGTACGACAATCACCGAGATATCGTCGACGGTGGCAGCCGCCTTGCTGTCTGCGAGCCGCCAGTGGCCGGAGTCGTTTATCTTGCCGCGGGCCCGGGCCACCAGCTCCTGGGCGACCATGGTGTAGCGATGCTTCTCGGTCGGGTATTTGGAGAGCGTTTGGAAGACGGTGCGGGAGACGGCCTCGTTCTCGGACACGTCCCAGAGGCCGTCGGTGGCCATCACAAGCACACCGTAGTCGCCGTCCTGATTGTGCTCGTCCGGGATGCTGACCACCTGGGTGAGATCCCGCTGACGCACATCTGGATGGGGGGTGAGGAATGGCTTGATCTGGATGCCCGTGTTGATGGCCAGCAGCTCGTGGTCGCCAAAGCCGCGGGACACCCCCAGGGTGCCCAGGAGCCGGCTCCTCTTGCCCTCCCCGTTGACCACGGGCATGCGGAGATCGTCGCGAGTGAGCGTCTTGTAGGTCCAGCCTTTCATGGTGCCCTGGCGACAGAGGATGCGCTGGCCCATGTCCTCGATGTGTGGCCGCTTTGCGTACTCCATGGCCACGTACTGATTGGCCATCAGGTGCGGCTTCAGCCGCGCCACATTGAGCAGCCGCTCGCGCTCCGTCTCCGGCGTGTGGTCCGCCGAGAAGGGCACTGGATAGCAGCTCGCCTCCAGCGGATCCGGCTCGATCACAGAATCGTCCTTCGGCTCGGCCGGCGGATTGGCCCGCCGCTGGCAGAGCACAGCCCGACTGTCGCCAGCATTGGCCACGTACATCTTTCCGTCGATAAAGAGCGAAACGCAGGCGGTGCAGCCACCCGCGTCGCGATACCGATTGCTGTCCTGGGCTATCAGTGAGTCCATGCTGAAGAAGGCGCTCTCCAAGGCGCCGATGATCAGCTCGTCCTTGGTCACGCGCCGCTGAAAGTAAATGGGGTGCGGGAATTTCGGATTTAGCCGCCCGTTCTCAACGCTATCCGTGTCCCGCGGCAGCAGCAGCTCGATGCAGTCCACCAGCGTCTCGTGCAGTATGTGATGGAATTGATGGGAGGCGGCCAGGGCGGCCCCGTACCCGGCATGGCCGTCGAAGATGCCAAAGTACGTGTATGGCAGATCGGGATGCTTGTGCTCCGGATCGGACAGAACTTGCCTGCAAATGGGAGCAATGGGAGTTGGGTTGATGACTCACGCACACAAACAAAGCCTTTCGATTGTCGTGACTCACCGGCAGAAGGCGCCCTGGTCCTCGTTCCACTCGGACTTGCCCGAGTTGACGCACTCCGCGTACCCAGTGCCCCACGGCAGCAGATTAATGTCCCGCGGCACGATAATGGGCCGCACATTGTGGTCAGCCGAGGCGCGCAGCTCGTCCGCGGTGAGCAGCTGCAGGAACGGGGGCCGGGCGTACGGGAACTTGTCCGGCATCTGTTGGCTCCCGAACCGCCGATGGTGGTGGTCGCTGCGCTCGCTGCTCGGCAGCGGTGGCAGATCGGGCGCCAATGCCGTCATGAAGCGCTCCTTGAAGTTGCTGAACATGATGGTGGCTGGCCCAGACGGTGGTTGGACAGAGGGTGGGTGGAAGCGGCTGCCCTTTGTGTGTTCTGCTGGTTAGCTTACAGGCTTTCCTCTCCGTGTTCTACTTCTCCTGCTTGTCTCTGCCGCTGGTCTGTGGTTCAGTTGCGTTCTCGCTCACTCCCACTGACGTGGCGAGCTTGCGTTGTTTTTGTTGGGTTTTCACACAGCTGCGAATTAGATTAGTGTGTCAGCGCGATGGGGGGCTGCAGTGGACGCGGGACCCGCTACACGGCACTACCTACATGCAGTGGAACGGCTCGTATAGTCGTTGACAACTCCAAGTTAGTTTTCTATTTTCGTTTTTGCCAGTAAAATAAATCGATTAGAACGTCAGTGTGACCGTTGTCGGGCAGTGGCGAAAATACCAGCCCTCGAACGGTGTTGGCTAACATCACGGCACTAGTGCTGCATAGTTCGTGACTGAACTTGAACTTAATAATTTGAACTTATTTTCTCTTGTATTGCAGATCGGAGCACAGCGAGCTACGCGACGTCATCATTAAGTCAAAGGCCTCGGGCATAGCCCTGGATCAACAGAAGGTGGACCAGTACATCAAGGCCATGTCCCTCAACGGCAGTGAAAAGGTGGGCGTAGAGTAGAGCTTTATTTTTGCTGTCTTTCCAGACCGTTTCGCATGCTTATTCATGATATGTATCTCCCTGCAGGCCAACACCGAGAAGCTGGCGGCCATGTGGATGTACGCCACGCAGATGGGCAGCCTGCCGCCACCTTCGGTGCGCAAGCTGACGCCTCCCTCCCGTTCCATAATGCTCATTCCCTCCACCGCTGGAAGTGGAGTAAGTTGCTCCTTCAATGAATCAAAGTGTGCCTTCTGGCTAACTGTTCCTTGTTCGCCCCCACTCCTTTCAGCTGCCACCGCCGCCGCCCACACGCCTGCCCCCACCCCCGCCTGGCACCGGAGCGGGGCTGCTGCTCCCAGTGCCTCCACTGGCGCCGCATTACAGGGGATGACGCTGCCCTACATGCGACCTGGACCCGGCTCCCTGATCTACGCCCATCCGGCCAGCCTCAGCGGCACCTACCGCACCCACAAGAGCACCAAGTCGGCCGAGCTGAATGGTCAGCGCAGGCGCCGCCGGGCAGGCAAATCGGACGCCAATCGCCGCCAGCGCCGCAAGTCCGAGGCGGACGTCCTCGACGGAGCCCCCAACTTTCAGTACACGGGCCTGGACCGGGCCATAGCCGACAGCTTCCTGGCCCGCCAGGAGCAGTCACAGGCCGGCAGTCACATCGATTACTCCTCGTCAGCGTCCTCGGATCTGTACGGGGGCCAGCGTGCCTCCTCCAAAACGAAGATTGTCTGTCGCGATGTGGTGATGTGAGGAGGAGCACCACCACCACCACCCCCCCTCTCTGTACATATATGTGTAGTCTGTCTGGTGGTCAGGCCTAGGAGCCTGCCCCACCGCTAAAAGGTTTTCACTTGGAATTTCCTTAACCTTTCCCCTCTCCCGTACTAGCTCTAAGCACTTAATCTTTATATATGTACCTATCCACATGTACATATGTATGTACACGTGTATGTAAAGCGATAAATAAAGTTATATATACATATATAAACCAGAGGACACTCGGTGCTCGGATTTATTGACTCTGGAAATGGGAATTCGATTTTGGATGTATTATTGATGCAGTTTCCAGGGTTTCCGGTGTGCAAATGGTAGAAAAATAGCCGAGTGCTTGGCTCTAAAAATCCTCGTCGCTGTGGTGCTCCGCCTTGTTGGCCGTCTTCGGACGCAGCGGCAGTTCGCCCGTCAGCTTCGAAATGCTGATGTCATCGATCGAGTTCAGATCAACTGCGGAAGAGGGGTAGAGCAAACGAATTAATTAACACTTGGATGGGATTGTCCTGCAGCCGGCAGCCTGCACTCACAGTCATCGTCGGCAGCGCCCATGGCCATGCTGATGGCCCCGGCACCGGCACCGGCACCGGCCCCGGCGCCCGTGCCAGCGCCCATGCCAGTCATGCCCATTATCTCGCCCATGTCCAGCTCGCTGTCAGAGCTGCCGAAGCTGCTGTCGTCGTCCCGCGAGTTGAGCATGCTGTTCCCGGGCACATTGCGTCCGTTGTGAGCGGCCCTGGCTCCACCTCCTGCTCGTCCTCCTCGTCCTTCTCGTCCTCCTGCTGCCCCACCTCCAGTGCCCTTGCGACTGCGTCCCGTGGTGGGTCTCAGGCGGGAGGTGGCCGTTCCGGGACGCTTTTCCTGCCGCATCAGCTGGTCCTCGTCGCGTATGTCCGGTATCTCGGCGTCCAGGCCAAATAAGCTTCTTCCATTCACCACCATCTCCACGCCGGAGCCGACGCCGCCCACCCCGCCTCCGATGCCACCGATGCCACCGCCCACATCCTCATCGTCATCGCCGTCGAGATCGTCGTCCTCGTCCTCGTCGTCGTCGTCCTCGATGAGGCCCTCCGGTATGAAGGGCATCGAGTTCTCTGCGGTCTTCTGCAGTATGGGCGAGGCGATGGGCGTGGTCCGCTTGGTGCGCGCCTCCAGCTGGGAGCGCAGGGCGTCGCGGACGTGCAGCCGGAGGAAGTAGCGCTGGAAGAGCAGCTGCAGCTCCTTCTCGCACTCCTCGAACTCGGCCATGTGGGCGGGCCGGATCTTCTGCAGCGCCTCCAGCCGCTGCTTGGTCCGCTCCAGCTCGGCCCGCTTCCGCTGCAGCTTCGAGTTGAGAGCGTTCAGCTCGACGCGGGCCGCCTCCAGCTGGGCGCGGCTGGACTGCAGCTTCAGCTGGCTGGCCTGGATGGCGTTCTTGAGGGTTCGCTCCACCCCGAGCAGCTCCATGGGCCGCTGGGCCTGCGTCTGGCGCGACTCCTTGTGCAGCAGCTCCTTGGACAGCAGGTCGTAGAGGGCGGCGCCGCGCTGGGTGAGGTCCGCGGAGAGCTCGCGGGCCCGGCGCAGCTCCTCCATCTTGTCCCCGATGTCCACCTGGTTGAGGCTGCGGAACTGGTCGCGCTCCTCCTCCTCGCGCTCCGCCTCCGTCTGGCTGGGGGCAATCAGCAGGCGCGTGATTTTCTGCAGCTCGCTGGCGGTGACCGCGGCGGCGGCGTACAGCTTGCGGGGATTCAGCCGGATGGCCGACTTGGTCACAAAGAACTCCGTGGCAGAGCGCACGAGCAGCACCCGCTGCTCCTCCGTCTCCACGCCGCCGGAGAGCACGGTGCCGGGCTCCATGAGCCCCGCCAGCCACTGCAGCAGCTCCGACACGATGTGGAAGCTGGCCAGGCTGCCGTGCTGGTTGGCCAGCGACTGCAGCGGAAATACCCGTGGAAAGCCCAGCAGCTTCAGCTGCTCCCCGAGATCTACACAAATGAAGGAGGGAACGGCATTGGTTGCTGGTTGGTTGGCTGGCTGCCGGAGACAAGGGGGACTGGATTCCCCTTTTCGGACTCACCGCGCACATCCTTGAAGGACATTCCTAGGGCTATATGCTGGCAACGGTTGACGTTGACCACGACTTGACCTGTGTACGCGCTGCTGCTGCTGCTGTTGCTGCTGCCTTCGATTCAATTTGCATTTTCCTCAGTGTCATTTGTTGTGGTTTTCCCTCGGCCGCTGCTGCTTCTTCCTCATTGCGTCGCCTGCGTGGACGCCTTTGTTTGGGCCAGGCCAGGCCATTCATGCAACACGGTTGCCAGGCAACCATACTCCACCTCCTGGCTCTGACCCCCCGGCTCTGGCTCTGGCTCAGGCTTCGCTTCGGTTCGGTTCCGTTTGGTTCGCTTTGGTTTGGTTCGGTTGCTCTGGTCTGGTTTCACCAGGACAACCAACTGCCAAGGGGTGGATTTTCCAATTCCCCAGGGTGGTTGGTGGGTTGCTGGGCTGCTGGGCTGCTGGGAGGTGTAGCAGCAGGCGCCCGCTGCCTGATCTTGCTGGAGTGAAGCTTGCCTGGAAGTTTGTGTGTGTAGTACGAAGAGCCTCCACAGACCATGAAAAGAGGAGCTTAATTAGTGGAGAATAAATGCAGGTAAATGATTGTGGGAGGGTGGATTCGTTCGTTGTCTCTCCCACAGATTATGTTCCCCATAAGTAATAAGTCCTGGCTTGCCTGTTTGTATGTACTTCGATGCACTCGGTGGCCCTTTCGTATCGTATCGTAGTAGTAGTAGTTCAGTGGTTACTCTGGTGGCCAGATGATACTCCTTTATACTCGCAGATAAGTACACACAATCCTGTTATAGCCACATTTATCTGAGCTGCCCTCATGCTACGTCTGATGGCAGAGTTGCTGTTCCCAGTGGCCAGCTTCATGGCGATCTGCGACTGCTGTCAGCTGAATAAATTAATGGGCTAGTGCATGGCTGGTTAGGATCTCCGTAGTATCTCTGGTGTCACATGTACCTACATATGTACAGGCATTCAATCCCTGCTTCGATGTTTCTCCACAGGCTCCTCCTGCTCCTTGGTTTCGAGCACATGATTGGCTTTAGTAGTCCGCATCCGTGACACCCGAATGGGTGAATATTGGCGGATCCTCCCCTCATACGCTGACACTGTGACACTGGAGTGGGTGCAGCGACCTCGTGCCGACTGGCACCACCTCTCCACACACACACCTGTGAGTGGCAGTGGCACTTGCATTGGATTTTATTACGGCCTGGTTCCCACAGGCACTGCCTGCCACATGGCGGTAATTAATTATGTGGCGTGTTGGGCGCCAGGAAAACGGGGCGCCCCCCGTTCATTCAAGTTCAGCTAAGTAGAGCAATCAACTGTGGCCCAACCATCGAGTGATACGAGCAGCTCCTCAGTCTAGAAACGATCGACTTTAAGCGATGCAAATTTAAATGTCGTCTCCCCTGGGTGTTTCTCCCTCTGCTGCATAAATGCAGCAACTACAAATGCCAATGGCAAGGCTGTCCCGTCCCGCCCCGTCCCGCCACGTCCCGTAAGTAGTAATTGCATTCAACAAATTACGGGCATGTGCGTCCTCCACGCGTCACACTCATGGTCACATAAATAGTCGTTGCCATCCATGCCCCCATCAGACGGCAGCACGGCAGCATGGCAGCACGACATCACGTCAAAGTTCAATGGTCGCCAGCGTGCACACGTCGATTCACAAACAATGGACCCCCCCAGGACCATATGACAGATCCCCACATACCCCACACCAGCTGCATTCCCTCTGCACCCCAGTCCAGCCCCCGTACACCAGGCGATGCCACAGCCCGGGACGATGCCACAACGATGATGGAGCAATTAAAGCGTAACGCTCAATCAAAGCACTCGACGCTTCTGCCTAGCTTGTGGGCTGTGTTGTGGCATGATTGAGTGTCCAGAATTGAGTCCGCTGAACAATGGCGGACGATTAGAGAACTAGTTCCAGTGAACCAAATGCCATTGGCCTGGATTCTAAATTTACCGCTTCACGTATTTATTAATTCTTAATTTATTAGTGCACTTTAGGACTATGGCATAAGCGATATACTTAAGCGATATCCTTCCCATGGTACTCGTATAAATTAAATTAACATTGGATTTCAGGTTTCCGTTACAGGTTGACGTTTCCAAGTCAACATTTCCAATAATATTTCATAGGAAAGTGATTGTTTGTTTTATTTACTGGTGAAAATGGTTAAAAAGGCTAAAAATAGATTTTAAAAACAATTTCTAAGATTATATAAAACTTGTATTGTATTTATGTGTGAGTCTTTAATTTCAATGAAATATGTAGTTTTTAAGTCAAATACATATAATAGTTCTGAAGTGTTTTTTAACCAAAATTACTAGAAATTTAATATTTATATTTATTCTATAATTATATAATTATAATTATAATTTATATTTTAATAAACAAAAGAACTCATTAATGTAAATTTACAGGTAGATTTAGGAACAAACTTGCCATAATCTGTACAAATTCTTTACAAAATAGTTTTATCACAACAGAATTCATCACCTACCGTGCATTCGTACGATTGTACACTCCTGCCGTTACACCTCCTTACAGTGAAGCAGCGAACAGTCTGTTGCCCACGCAATCCCAAGCGAATATAAAGCAAATATAAATCCGTTTCGATAACTCTTTGAATTTCTTTGAATAAATCTTTAGATTGCTATTAGCTTTCAACAGTTAACAGAAGCTGAACTTTCGAGTGTTTAAGAGATGTTAAAAACAGGGACCGTAAATGATGATTATTTTTTATTTTTTTCTCGAAAACATCATCCACTTAAAGTAGCCGCACAGAAGAATTAAATAGACCAATAGACTGCTCTAAGAATAAACTATGCAAATCCAACAAAATTTTTAAAATTTGCCTAAAAAAATGTTTAGTGCGTTCCTTTTGACTTAATTAGTAATGATATGTATCAGTTCTTCCTCAGTTCCCCATGATATTTTCATTATTTAACTTTGAGTTTTATTTCGCTCAAACATAATTGTTATGGATAATCATTAATAATAATTTATAACAATAATTCTTATCAATAAAAAAAATGTATTATTGTGTGATTTTTAAATTATAGCTTATTATGATTTCGGTCCCTGGTTAAAATTGATTAGAAATCCGTCTGCAGGAATCAGGAAACAGCTGAAAAGCTGCCCTCGGGAAATGGAAATTCTCGTTTTGATTTAGAAATATTTGTTCTCCTTTCTATTTTCAGTTCCAGTTCCAGTTCCTTTTCCTTTTCCCTTTTGATTATTCAAATAACCGATTCCATAACAAAATTCTTGCGATTTTAAATTTTTAAGCTGCTTGCATTTGATGAATTTATTCAGTATGTTTCATGAAAGTCAAACAGTTTTTACTATGCACTGGCTCGCACAGGTCCATCGGTTCACAGGTTACCACCCCCCACCCAGATACACACACACACACCCCCAAACACCCAAACACACACACACACACACACCCACACTCAAGTGTATAATAACATTTTATGGCATCGAACCATAAGAGACGTAAGCAGGAGCAGCAGCAGGAGCAGCAGCAGCAGGAGCAGCTGCGTTGCTTGAACTCTCCGCGAACGAGAGTCTTGTTCTCAGCTGCAGAGTGCTGCTGCCCCACTTTCGCTCTTTCTCTCTGCTGTTCTCGGGGCGTGATTTAGAAATTTTGGCAGTTCTCGCACACCAACACCAACACCCACTCTGTTGCTCCCTGCCCCCTGCGCCCAGCTTGGGATCAAACGTAAAATTCACTTTGTGCAAAGAAAAAGTGAAAAAAGAAAGAAAATAAACAAAAGAAGCAAAGGAGCTACCAACGAACAGCGAGAAAGAAAGAAACGAATAGGAAGAGTGGTGGGGGGTTGGGGGAGAGGAAACTGAAGGTGTGGAGAATGAATGGAGAGGGGGGAGGAGGGAGAGAATTTATAAATCAAGACGTCAGAAATTGTTAACGGACCCAGAGACGGCGGCTGCCAGTCGGCGTCATCGTCCTTATATGACCCCCAGCTTCATCATCATCATCAGCATCACCATCAGCATCCTCCTCATTAGTGTCAACATTATCATCCGCAACGCGTTGAACTCTTCTCCGAGTCCGCTTCGGCTAGCACACGTGTCCTTGGCCTTATCAATTTAATTGGGTGTGAAATTGAACAAACGAGCTGGGGCCAGCAACCGAATGCAGATGGGCTCCTGCCAGAGGAAGCTGCTGCTGCACTTTGGGCACACCTGCTAATGTGGCAGTCATGAATAATCGCCCAGAAGGCGCCACTCTGTCATAACTTATTCACAGTTTCTGCTGAATGTATGTACAGGCCATGTGTCTGACTCGGTTGAAAAGGCTTCCCGTGATTCCACCCAAAGTACCAAACTACTTTCAACAAAAACGAATGCCCATCGATTCCCAGACGATTTGTTCAGTTTTCTTTTCGCTAAATTTCCATATCAGTTGCTTAGTTCTCGGCTCTAAACTAATTTTGTGAATTTTCGCCATTGTTTTCCCATTGTTTACAGATCCGAGAAATATATTTGTATATAATGTAAGACAAAATGCTACTCTATTATTTCAGAGACATGCCAATTGGCTGTCTTCCAGCCATGATAATCGAAGCTGCATGAAGAAACAAGGGGGTGCAGCATCCTAGAGGCGCATCAGACTAGTTGTCCACTGCTGACTCCACGCAGGCTTACAGCTCTTCACACGAGTACAGGTACAGGCGCAGGAGCAGGAACAGGAGCAGGCGAATCAGATATTCAATATTATTTTCTAGTGTGGGCTAATGTGTTTTAGGGGTGTACGATATGTGTATTCGATCGGGTCTCTTCTGTTCGTGTCAGCTTGTGGATCTCCAACTCAGTTGGAATATATTTCTTGGGCCCCTCTGCGGCACCTTTTGGTTTGTTTTGGTTACATTTGAGTTAGGTAGCAGCTGGAATCGAACCAATTCGACTTGTTATTTCTGCATCGATTGCAGTTGCTGCCACTGGCGAAGTGCTTCCTTCTTGCAGGCCTCTTTTATGCGACGTTGACGCAGACTCTTCTGAGATTCTTTCGCTGGAACTTGCGGTGAGAGCAGTGTCTTCGACTGACTGTCGTGATTTCCTCCAAGGCGCGGGTAGCGGCCGCTTTTAGTCAACCTGGACAGATGATCCGTCAATGGTGTGACACGAGCTTTCTTCAGCTCTGCTTCCAGTTGCTGCACATCCGTTTCCAGGGTCCATTCTGTGGAGTGTTTCGTTCCCTGGCGGAAAGCAGCCTCGCAGACCAGCGCCTCATTCATGATGGGCACGGTCTCGGGCGGAATCGAGCGGATTGAAAACTCCAATTTCTGGGAGTTTGCTGGCAGCTCCACACCATTCGATTCCATTATCAGTTCGATATAGTGGTGTGGAATTTTGATGTATGCTGACAACTTCTCCCACTCTTTGCAGTTGCGCTCGTGCTGGGAACTGGAGATCCCTTCGTCATCCCCATCCCCATCATCACCGTCAGAGTCAGAGTCATCCACTGGCTTTATGAGTTCTTCCAGCTCGCTTTGGCTCAGGACATCCGTATATTTGACTATTCTGCTTTTCGCTGGTACCCCTGGCAGTTCTTCCATGGGCTCGTCCGACATTTTGCGACAAAGCTGGATAATTAATTGAGGAAAACAAAATTATTTTTCCACTTGACAAGCCAACAATTTTGTTAGGAATTACATTTTGTTTTTGTTTGCCTACGATATTCAATGTTCAGTTTGAAGTTAACAATTTTGTTAGGAATTCGATTTTATTTTTCTCACAATGTTCACACTTTGACTGCCGGGAATGGAATGAGCACAGATAAATTAATTTTTGCTTTGTTACTTGATCCAGAGAAAAGTGACAGCAGAATGATTATATTTTTAGTGTTTTATTGAAGAAGAAAATTACGAAGAGTCATGACAGCTAAGAGAACTACAGAGTCGCATGGTAGTAAGCATCGATAGATATCGCTTAAGTCAACATACTTTATGCTGGCAATCCTTTTCTTTTTGGCATTAAACGTGGGGGCCCAAGGTGTGAATGATGAAGGGCAGGAAAAGGAACAGGAACCGGTGGGGGAGGAGCTCAGGCTCAAGCTGGTGCTGGTGATGGTGCTGGTTCTGGTTCTGGGTGCCCCTATCAAGTATCAAGGACAGGCGTTGTTCAGCTGTCGATTGTTATGGGTAATTGCATCTCAGTGGGTAGTGCACAGTGGGGACAATGGGGGACAATGACAATGACAATGATGGCACAGAGGGATGTCACTTCTGTTCTGGCTTACGCACACAATTCAATGGGCAACCTGCCTCTCGTTTCGTTACACAAAGGAGGGAACCGGATAATTTGCGGCTCTTGGTGTCGATGGCAGCTGGAGATGGAGACGGCGACAGAGACGGCAGACTCTAAAGATTTGAGGTGTCGCTTCCACCTGCACCAGTTCCTTCTGTGGGGGCAATAAGTCTCCAGTTAAACACTTTTGTGGCTTACCTCTTGCCCCAGGGAAGGTGGCAAGTCCTTGAGCGAATGCTTGTGGAATTGTTGAAGGTGATTTCTAATCGTTGGTCCTCTGCCTGGCCTAATGGAGCATTGTTGGGCGAAGCTCTTGAATCCCGATTCCCGTATCACTTACATTTGGTTTGTTGTTGTCTTATCCTCGGGTCAGTGTCCTGTCCCTGTCCCTGTCCCCGTTTAGTCCACTTGAGGCGGACGATGCTTGGAAAATTGAATTGTCAGCTGCTCTCCCGGAGCTTCTGTCGCCTTGCTATTCCACTCAGTTCCTCACTTTGTTTTCCCAGCATCAGATTTTCCCTCGGTTACCCCCTCAGCTCCGCCCTTCCTCTGCCTCACCCCTGGGAGATGCCTTCTGCAAATTCTCCCCCAAGCTTTGGCTTGATTTTCGTTGGCGTTTTTGTCTTTTGGCTTCAGATTTCCAGCCACAGTCGGAGGCACTTGAAAATTAATTTAGACTAAACCGCAGGCAATCGCCGGCATATATATATATATACACATATATACTGGATATACTGGATATATATATCGTTTGTCTGATAATCCAATTTATCGGCTGCCTTCTGGTCGTTTCCATGCTGAGGGACAATTTTACTTTCTTTCTCTGCTTCCTTTTCCCTGGGACCAAATGGTCCGTGATATAATTTGATTTCCTTTGCACTCCTCGGCCCCCCAACCCCCCCAAGAGCTGCAGCTTGTGCAACTTTTAGTGGCAACTCGCCCCTCAGTTGTTGTCGTCCAGAGTCAACAATGCAGAGCACGAGTGCTCCCTATTTGTCCTCATTCATCGCCCACTAACTTACTCATTTCTGGGTCCGATGTAGCAAATTGCAATTAACTCAGATAAACACACGCATAAAGGGATAAGCACACACACACACACACACAGAGACACAGATACTTGTGTCCTTGCTTGGACTTGCCTTCTGCCACGACCACAGATGGCACCACAGGCCACAGGACCATTGTGGGCTTCACCCACAGCCGCCCCCCCCCCCCCTCCATCGTCACCGCAGTGGGTTTCGGTTTCCATATGGTTAGCTCGTAGCTTCCCCATACTCCTGGCCCGTCTTCAACGCTCTCTAATTTAATTTTAATGTACTTAAGGACTGCCCTCGGATCCGTCTTCGGCCACAAGTCCACCACAACACAGCGCCAGCAATCCACAGTCCCTTAACTGGATTCTGTCCACTTCCTTGCCCGAATGGCCTACCCCCACCCCGGTGGCCCGCCACAAGTCCAGAGATAAGAGGCGACAGTGGAGCGTATTTAAGCCCTGATAAACCTTCCTCCCATTTGTAATTGCCTCGCTGCCAGGACTCTAAGGAAAGGTGCTGCCTTCTCGGCTGATGAGATATATGGGAGATGGGATAGGCTGCGCGGAAGTGGGCTGGAGATGACCTATTTTCCTGGCTGGATCTATTGTTCTGATTATCTGCTGCTCTTCCCTTCCAGGCAATGATGTGCCCAAGCAGCTGGCATTCTTCCGCCCACTTGCTATGCGCAATGTTTTATTGTATCTCCCAAGCAATTCTCAAGGGTCAACTTAGCTGACTTCTGGGATGCCAACTTGTTCTCCACTAACATTAACAATGACGGAATAAAGTTCTTCTGCTATTGAGCTTTTTTATGGGTTCTTTTCAAGGGCGACTCTCATTGCAGCGCCCTCGCTGTGGATACGCTAAGAGGCCTGTCTGGTGCAGCCAGACATGGAAATCCGCTAGATGAGGTAATCTTTTATGAACATCAGATAATTCTGCACACAAAATGCACATACTCTAGTTCGAAAGGCCTCCGGCTGTAGGCACCCATTAATATTATTATTTATTAATTTATCTTAGTCTAAGTAAAATAAATATAAATCTAAAACTAATACGAGTATACAGCCCCTGTGCCCTTTGAGCTGGCAAAGTTCTTACGGGTTTTGTTTTGTTTTTCGTTCCCCCAAACGGATACTCCACTGGTCTCGGGCATTGTCTGCCAGTAGGCCATATGGAAGGAGTGCTAAAGAGCCATGTTGATGTGGCGGTACGAGTACGAGTACGAGTGGGGGGGTCACCAAATAAGTTGTTTCTCTGCTGCGAATACTTTACGTGTTCCCTTTACGTGTTCCCTTTACGTGTTCCCTTTACGTGTTCCCTCTGCTTTCCCGTTGGGCCACTTTGGTGCTTTCATTGTGGCATTTGCCTGCCCTCTGTATCCAGGCTCCATTATGGCAATGAAGAAATATGAAGCAGCAAATGACAAGCAACAGACACTGACCAGGAGGCACACACACCGAGGGGGTTTGGTTTGGTTTGGTTTGGGAGAGATGTTCCCAGACTCCCTTTTTCTCTCCATCTGTCGCTCTGCTGCTGTTTGCATGTTTCCCTGCCAGCGGGAGTGTGTGTGTTTGTGTGTGTGTGTGTGTGTTTGGTATACTCTAAGGAGTGTGGCAGTGTCGGTGGGCACCTCAGGGTCAGCTGTGATAAAGTACTTAGCGACGCAGCCTCGTTTGACTCCAGGCACTGGACATAGTACATAAACATGTACATAGCTTGCACATATGCACATATGTACGTGCCCCATTGCTGTTTCCATGGCACAATTTACGGTTTATACGGTCAGAGATCGTGAGAGTGTATCCTGATGAGCAGTCTTCATGGAGTTTCGTGTTAATTTAAAGAACTCTGAAGAACTTTATCTAATTTATTTAATTTTAAATTTAATTTTGGTATAATTTACTCTGCCCAGCTGAACCGACATAAACGTGAATGATATTCGCTTTTGGGAAACTTTCTGCCCGGAGCCCGTTGGCTACTTGCTCTCCACCTTTGCTCGGGTCAGACAAGGCCCACACAGGACAAAGGACATCAAACACTTGGCTCTTTATGGGTTATGTGTTGCTTTAGAGGAAATTTGATTGGCCACGTCCTTGCCCGCTCCAGCCTGTCCACTGTCACTGGCTTGTCCATTCCTTGGCCATTGTCTCCCATTGTCGGAGCCGCATCCATACACATTCACATTCCCGTTCCCATTCACATTTATTAGCCCAACTTCGAGGGACACACAACACTCCGCACACACTAGCAATTTGCTGCTGTTCTGCTCGGACCCCGCCCCCACCGGCTCGTGCCGCATTTCACTTGATTGTCAGTTTCAGTTTTTGGGCTTTTGAGTCGAGAGTTTGTGTTTCATTATCGCGGCTGTCCCTCCTCTTCCCACAGGGCCCTCTTCATTGGAGTACCTCGCAGTCCCAAGGGCGAAATACCCTTGCGGATCTACTACTCCTGCACATACAGCATATGATATATATTCCATTGGTTTTATATCAGAACCAAACACGAGTGGAGTAGTGCGCTAGATATTTTGTATTATTTTTTGTTTGCATGCAGAATAATACTTAATGTATTCCCCCCATGAATGGTGTACATCTACGTTGTCTTCTGCAAAATAAACTCCTTCTATAGCTAAAGATTGATGATTTTCAATCTTCATTACTATTTTTCAGCCCAAAATTCTTGCACCAGATAGCTAATAAATATATGTAGTTTATCCAAAGAACTTTGAAGTAAAATTAACATCCTTGGTGCACAGTCAAGTGCGGGCGTGGCGGGAGACTCACTAACTGCCACTAACTAGTTTTCCCGAAGTTTAAGACCTTTGATTAGTCAGTTGGCAACAAGTTTTGGCTTGAGTTTTCGCATCTGCCACTTTTCGCACTGCTTGTTCAAATATCCAAATATTTATTTTAAATCAGCAACCCAATTTCTTATGTTATCTATCCAATTTAGTAATCTATGCCGGGGGATCATTTTGCAGTCTCCTACTTCAGCAGGGAATGGAACTCCACATAGTTGAGAGCCAGCCCATGGCCAGACGAGCAGTCGACTTCCCGCTGCCTGCTGTCTCAATCTCCCGCTGTCCACAACCCCACCACTATCACTCCCTCTCCCTCTCCCTCTGCCAACCTCTCTCTCTCTCTTCGCAGCATTTGTGAAAATTGCTTTGGATGCGATGCTGTTGTTAGTATTTGCCATTGCGGTTGCCACAATAACAATTGCGTGGGGCGCAGCAGTTTCCGTCTGGCCGCCCCACGGCTCCGGGCGCTGGCCGCTGCTGGCCTTGAACTTGCAGCATGCGGCAATGCCCTGCGCCGCCCTGCGCCGCCCTGCTTCCCTTTCGAAGCCAGCGAAAGTTTTGCGGACTGCTCTTGGATTTGTTACAGTTTTTATCTACCCTTTCGCTTTGTTTCGCTTTCCCCCCCCCACCACCCTTTGTTTGTGTATCTATGTGTAGGTGTGTGTGCGCCTGTGTCGATTTTTTACGTGTACGTGTGCTACGTTCCAATTGGATTTCAAAATTAATTTGCTTTCAGGCCCAATCCCAGTCCGCCCTATCGCCCCCACACGTAT